GGAGCGATGCTCTCCGCGCGGGACTTGCGCCGGGCACCAGGTCCAGCAGCGGGCGCGCCGTACGCGTGGTAACGGGAAGAGACGACGCTCTCCGCGCGGGACTTGCGGCGTGCGGACATCATGGTGGCAGAACTCTTGCGGAATGGGTCGATGCTGTCCGCACGCGAGCGGCGCTTCTTCGCGAGGGCGGAGTTGAAGATGGCCTTGACAGAGCTGCGCTTACCAGGGGCATCGTCCGGGTCGATGATTTGCGAGTTGCGCGAAGATGCCCTCGACGACTGGCGCGAGAGCGAGATGATGGAGTCGCGCCGCGTGGGTGCCCGTATGTAGTCGACGCGGCTCCCGCGCCAGCCTGGAGGGGGGCCGATGGGTGTGACAAGCGGGAGTACGAACTCCGGGGACTGCGGCCCAACGATGTCGCCCTGCTCGAGCTCCACCATGCTGTTGAACCTGCTGTCGGAGTTGATGCGCATGTTTGGCGCACCACTCTTTCTCTGGCGCGGGAAAGCGACTGGTTGAGGCGCAGCCTGGTCGAGCGGCGGGCGCTGTCCATCAGCAAGAGAAAGCCTGGGCTTCTCGAAGGGATCCTCGGGAACCATGGGCTGGAGGTCCGTCTTGATCTTGTCAATGGAAGGCCGCGGGGTATGAGACGGAGTGCTGAACGCGCCCGACTTTGCACGCGCTGCTGCAACGTCTGCGAGTGTAGCCTCAGACTCGAAGCTGGCATCGCTATTCCGGTTGCCAGCCTCCAAGTTATCGTCTTCAAACGATTTCCCAGCAGCAGGCCCTATCCATGTCGCGTCGCTTCCTCGACGCTCCAGCTCGGGAATCGCGTTCACGAACTTCGCGTCCCGGCGCCTGGTGTTGCGTCGGCGATAGACGAAGAATATCACCACTAGCGCGAGGATGAGGGCGACGCCGCCGCTCACGGAGGAAGCAATGATAATCGTCTTTGTGCTTGAGTTACTGGGGAAGAGGGAATCAGTGGGGTGTATGTCGGGATTGCAACACGCCCATACGAACCTCTTACTACCCAAACTAAGAGGAACGTTGCTACTGTGTGAACCATTTGTGTCTGCAATGCTGTTTGGACTGGCCGTGGGCTGCAGACCAGATCCTATAGGAGAGGAAGAGCTACATCCTCGGCAGTCAGCCTCTGTACCCTTGTTGAACACGAGAACCTACCCAGGAACAAGTTGTGATTCTTGAGCTGTTGTAGGATTCTGGTTGACGCTATCAGGAATGCCCGAGTTGGCGCCATTTTGGTCGAATCCCGAAGTAGGTGTATCGGTGCCTCCTCCAAGCGGATCGTTCACTGTGCTAGTGTTAGAGCCCGATGGAACTCCCGAATCTGAGTCCCCGGTGTTATTCGAGTTCGGGTCGAAGTTCGCAGAGTTGGAATCAGGAGGAGGAGTGGTGTTGGTACCGGGGTCCAAGGGAATGTCGTTCGGAGCGTCAGACATCGAAACAAAGAACGTCACGAGGAATGATTGGAAATGGTAGGATCAGAAGGCAGAAGAATAGGAAATACTACACGAAAGGCGAAGAGAGATCCACACCAAGCGAGACACGAAAAGTCCACGAAAACGAAACACAATCCAAACGAGAAACTTGCTTGCTCTCGAGAAGTTCAGACACTAGGCCTTCCTCCGAGCAAGACTCCGTCGTGACCTGGCCACCGAGCAGTACAAGAAAGCAGCAGTGGGGAAGATGACCGCCGTACAGGAGCGTAACGGCGCGTCCGAGACCAGCCCAAGAAGCAAAGCAGGGCTCACCGGGAGCAGCGAAGGAACGAAGGGGAGGGGACCAGCCTATAGAAAGGGAAAGGGGACCCCGGTGCCAGACGTGGTGGACGACCTCGTGAAAGGTGCGCGAGGGGTAGAAACGCCCTGCTTCTACTCCGGAGGGCATCACCTCGCCTAACCCGAGCCTCACGATATGCCTGGCACCACAACCAACGATGATGACCGTGCCAGTCGCATCACCGAGCGGTTAGCTCGATGATGCACTGGCTCGAGCTTCGAATGCGGATCACGGCCGTCTCCTCCCAGCCCCGGGAAAGTTGATAACAGAGCTGCTGTTGCTCTGAGCTACTCCAGCAATCGCAGGGCGCACAGCACTTGCTAGGCCCGACATTTGCACATCTCGACCTGATAGCGTCGCGGCTTTGATTAAACAGTGATGGCGGCAGTGCCGGCGTTCTGGGCATTCCCAATGCGAGATCTCTTTCATGGGAACGGCGTCATGGGGGAATTTGACGTCTATGCAGCAGAGATGGCAATTCTTCGGCATAGTTGAACTGCTTGAGGACGGAGTGACTAGACGAAGAGCATGGCAGGGAGAGATGAGACAAGCGCCCATTGCAACGCGTCCGACCTATGGGACCCACAATCGCAAACACCCCTACCAATTCTCCGAGAACACGCGACAATTGGTACTATTCCGCGTACAGGGGAGGTCTACTTCCTACTTGGCCTCCCTTGTCTTCTCGGATCCGGATCTGATCACATCCCGACCATATCACTGACACGTTCTTGTATATTGCATCGCACCAACTCGACACACCACCATCCCCCCCGCACATCTTCCTCCACTAGTACTACTATCTCCTACTATCTCCACTACCGATGGGAACCGAAACCGAAGACGAGTCCTCGTACGTATCCGTATCCAAAACGACCACGTTAGACTGATGAGCCCTACTGCACGACACATGCTGCTACTTGCAAAGGAGACGGTAAGAAAGAGAGAATGCGACAACAACTACACGTATAATGTCCGGGGACGCATGCTTTTTACAGACAACAGCACCGTACCGCGCCGCGCGCAAGACAGGCATGGATACATCGTGGAGGGCTACAATAAGTTATACAATTATGCGAAAGAGCTACCTACCTTGCCGTATGGATGATAATCGTGGAAAAATGCATGATGGGAAAAAGACTGGGAACTGGGTACTGGTGCGGTCTGTGCGGAGAACCTCGTCTCTGAGCGGAGCGGCGATGTCGACGGCGGCCGCAAGAGGGCAACGGCGTCTGTCTGCACCTGCAGGGCGCCGCCACGGGGACCCTTGGGCTTCCCTACCGAATCGCGCAAGTCTCATACAGACTCGGTGGTTTGGGAGCCTTGAACTTGCCCCACACCTCCCACACCTTCAGCTGCGACTCTTCCGGCACTGCGAAGACGATGCGGTGTCCATTAGGACTCAAGACACTCCCCGCGACGTTGCTCTTCGCGACAGGCACGGTCGTGACATGGCGCATAGTTGGGAACTGGTGCACGACGACCGAGTTGCTGATGCGCGAAGTGAAGGGATCGACGACGATGGATGCACTGGCGAAAGGATCGTCGAGCGGAGTCGAGGGTGTGGTGGGCGTGACGGGAGCGGGAGCTGTCTTTCCAGGGCCATGGGTGCTCAACAGTTCACGAATATGCGGCGAGAAGTGAAGCGAGGTCACTTGGGCGTCAAGCTCGACCTTGGTGGGCCACTCCGTGGAGGGGCTGTCATCCACAACATCCCATACGCGGATCGTCCCGGTGCCCTCGGCTGTCGAATCACCGGTGACTAGATACTTGGTCTGCCACGGGCACCATGCAAGAGCCTACGCTCCGACTTGAGCGACCACAATCACCGGACAGATGCGAAGGAGAGCGCTCACCGTCACCGCGCCGACATGCTGCATCTTGCGACGCCTTTGGACCATCTCGCCAACCTCGAGCGGAACTCTGGGACGGCGCGCATCCCATACCAGGACCAATCCATTCTGGTCGCCGGTGGCGAGGTGCTTTCCATCTTCTTTCCACGCAGCCTTCAGGATGCGGCCCTGGTGGCGGGTGACCTTCTTCAATTGTTCCTTCATCTTGGTGGGATCCAGGACGCGCGTGTCGTAGTGGCGAAGAGTCCCTTTCTCGTCACCGATCGTGAGCATGTTCTCACCGAAGCACATGGAGGTGACGTTCTTCATTTTCCAGCTGCAGACCATCTTCTTGGCGACCAGGTCCCACAACTGGACACCTCCGCCCGACGTCGCGAGCGCTACGACATTCGGCTGGTCTTTCCCACCGCACTGGACGAGCCGCAAGCTACCAAGGCTTCCGGTGATTTTGCAGAGTTGCTGCGCCACGTCTTCGGTGTCCGCCATGTTCTTGTAGTGGACACGATTGCCGCGGCCGAACACCACAGCGTTTGACTGAGACCAACTCACGGGCGATGCCGGTGCGGAGTCGGCGGCGTCGCCGGCCGAAGCGACCGAGTAGTCGATGGTGTTCACGGAGCGAAGGACATGGTAAGCAGAGTGAGGAGCGTATGTTGGCTCTGCAGGTGTCATGGATTCCCTCTTCCTGCGGAGGTCGGCAATCGAGGAACTTCTCATCAACGCGGAGCCTGTCATGGCCGTGTCGCCCGCAATCGATGACGCCCGCGAGGGAGAGTTGGAATAGACGAAAGACGAGGATGCACCGCTGAGACGGGGTCTGCGCGGGCTGGAATGTATGACTCTTGCAAGTTCGTCGTGCGCCTCGTCCATCATTGAACGCGTCCTGGTGAGACTCGCCCTTGAGGGGCCTGGCGACAACTGTGCGACGTGTCAACCACCGCAGCCACGTATACATATATCTCTAGATCGCTTACACTGCTGATAGGCGTGTCAAAAGGCAAGGTAGATTGTCGACGAAGCCTCTTGTTTGGCCCCGACTCTTCATCATCGAGAGAACTGAGAGTGCGTTTTCTGGACCCGGTCTCAGGTTGAAGGGGATGGTAGGCTAACAAAGATAGGCCACATACCGCTGAAAAGGAGAGCGCCCATATATCCACGACATAGTAGACATCGCACAGGCCAACTGAGGATGTCGTGGTGGGAGGAGAGGACGATGGCTGAGAGAAACTCGGACACAGAACGTGTGGCGATAGTTTCGGATTGAGTGCCTTGTTAGACGCGCGTGTCTGGGGAAATGGCATCAGACCACGTGATCGTCGCGTCACATCCCAAAAAGGAATGTCCCGACACCAGTAGGGTTCGAACCTACGCTCCCAGAGGGAAACAGATTGTACGCCAATTGGTTCTAATCTGTCGCCTTAACCACTTGGCTATAGTGTCTTGTTGCTCGAGTGATAGGTAGGGCACAGGGCCATGCGCCCACTTTTCATACCGGGAATGATCTAAGCTGCCCTACACGACAAAGGCGAAACGCAACAACACTACCGGGTATACTGACAACGTAAAGCGAATCATGACGCCGCGGCATCAGAGAGAAAGCATACTTGAAAAGCAACTACAACCTCTCCGACTTAAAGTGACGCCGTCAATGCGAGGACAGCCGCACCCATGATAACTCCAGCGACACCAGTGTTCGCCACAAGGCTCGAAGCACCGCTCGCGATCTGGCCAGTGACACCACCGGAGAGACCGGCAGCGGCAGCGACCGCACCGCTGAGGAAGTTGGCACCGCAAGTGTTCTGGACGCCCTCGTACAGCTTGGATTGGCCGGAAAGGAGTGCGGAGCTTGAGAGGCCGGGGCCGTAAGGGGTCGACGACTCGAAGCTGATGTACGACGTGATGATGCTACGCGTGCACGAAGTGCAAAGCGAAGCGGACGGGAGGTCGGGTTGCAGCATCATGAAGAGGAGGTTGTTGTTGGCGAAGGTCGTGGCGTTCGGCGCAAGGGCAACAACCGACTGGACGGTAGCGCGACGGGACACCGAGGACTTGCTGTCAAGAGGTGTCGAGACATATTGAGTGATGCTCGACAGGGTTCCAGCGGCTGACGAAGACGCGTTCTGAGCCATCTTGGAGACGCAGTAGTTGCCGGAGTCGTCCTTGGAGCAGATGGCGTTCTTGAGCGGGGTAAGGGCGTAGAGAACGTCGTAAATCTTGACCACGTCCTGGTTGGGATTCGACGACAACTCGTCGCTGCACGCCTGGTAGAAGTCTGCGAGCTTCGAGCGGATCGTGGTATCCGGGCAAGACGTAGAGGCACAGACAGTACCAAGGGCGCTGTTGATGGCAGAGGCGGAGGGAGTGGTCGTGGTCGCAGAAGCGTTCATGCTAGGTGCGAACTCAGAGGTTGCACTAATGATCGCAGAAGTGCAGCTCGTGAGGGTGCTGTCCTGGTTGAAGGAGGTAAGGAAGGACGAGCACGAAGTGCTGATTCCCGAAGGAATGAGAGACGCCTAGATAGTCACAGATGTCAGCTAATGCTTGGATAGAGACAAACACATAGACGGAGGATGCTGTGAATAGGGTGGACCATGTATGCCACGAGAGCAAGCATGTGTCGGACGAACGAATAGGCAGACGTTGCTGCCCGCCCCGCCCCGCGTTCTTACAGATTGTGACAGCAATGTTCGCCAACCTCTCGCTTTGAAGTTGCACTCAACAAGAGATCCGCCACAAATGCTTCCCTCCTCGCTCCTCCGCACTGAACGCGCCCTAACCAGAGCAAATCATCATTGCAAGTACTCACCGACTGGGCCAAAACGACCGACGCGAAGAGCGTGGCTGCTGCAATAGACTTCATGATGGAGGTGTGTATGGTATGCAAAGAGCGGACGAGTTCTTTAATGTCGACGACGACGGCGGGCAAGGGGGAAAGAGTGGCGAACTGGGGTCAAGTCGCGAATGGACAGGGCTTGTTCAGTGTCGCTATGTCAACATGTGCAAACAATTCTTCGCTTGGCGTGCGGTGGCTGCCAGCGGCTATCCCTTCAACCGCAAGCGCTAGCGTCCTCTTACGCGGGCCTGGACCCTTCCCAAGTCTGCAGCTCGCGATTGGTAGAATTGCAGCCCACTCGTTCGCGGAGAGGTACGTTGTTCTTAGAACTACAGACCAGCTCTGGCTGAGAGTTAAGAACTTCATGGACAAGTACAATGTATATCATTAACCTAAGACACGCCGAATTTGATGATACACAGCATTTCTTCTGCAGATCTACTCTTTCATTGATCCTCAATCGAACGGCCTCATGACGTCGTTGCCGCGCACGTCCGTCGCAAAGTTGCTCTGCACGCCCGCCTTCCAGTTCGGAACCTCGAACGTCGAGGTGTGGCACCACGGCTTCAGCGTGAGCTCCTTCTCGATGACCTGGGCAAAGTGCTCAGACCAGCCCTTCCGCGGGAACTTCGCCGTCGTCGTCTCGATGAGGCGAGGATGGATGAGGTTTGCGCGCCTGATGGGAGGGACGGTTTTAGGATGTAGAACTACAGGGATAGGATTTCATGATGAACTTACAATCCGACGTTATCTGTGCAAGGTCAGAATTGCCATAATCAGTCCGCTGCAAGACGCAAACTCGAACGCAGAGATCCCTACCGAGGATAGTAGCGAGCTGGAGAATCTGGCCGACCACAGTGATATTGCCTCTGCAAGGGTACGCTGTTAGCGATCCGGTGGTCCATCGAAGCGGACTTGCTGGGGCCCTCACCCCTTGACGAAGATATCCTGGTGCCGAATAATCGCATCGCATACACTGTCCGCTTCTGGCTCAGGTCCACCAAGAGACAAGATGAGGTCGCGCGCTACGATCGCCCCCTTGAACTCAAACGACATGTACGTCGTCGCGAGGAACTTCTCCGCCGTGCCGATATCGTGCAGCAAGCACGAAAGAGCGTACGTCTCGACCGCGCTCGGGGTCTCGTTGAACTTCCACTCCGGGAAGTGCGTCTTCACCAGCGCCGCACCTGCACAGGCCTGTCAGATCGCTCATCGGAGCATTCGTTTATGTCGAGGGAGAGCGTACCATAGACGAAGACGCGATTGCTATGGTTGAACGTCTGTTCGTCCAACTCTTTCTGCAGGCCTCCCGATCAGCCCTTAGCAAGACGGCGTAGATCACGAATACCATACTTGAGCGAACGCCCGAACTTCCCGCACGAGGGGCGTATCGGGCAAAGGGAAATCATCCGCCATGAACAGGTCCTGCTTGGGGTTCGGTCCGGACGCCGTAGGATGGTCCTTGAACAGCACCTCAGGGTCGCGCGGCACAGGTGCGAAGCCGTACAACCTCCACTCCTCGGTAGACATAGCAGGTCTCAGTTGGATGTAGTATTGATCTACAGGGAGACTCGAGCGTGGGTTAGCTCAGGGGCGAGTGCTTGGCCAACGAGGAGCTTATATATGGGAGGTTCGGCGCCCAGCTGCATCTCAGCTGAGTTTCCCAGTAGCGTCAGGTGCAGCGCAGCTTAGAATCGCGTGCTCTCACAGTCATGAAGGTCTCACTAGGGGAGTGAGGAGTCAGAAGACGGTGTGTGACAAAGAATCGGGCGCGGACCGTCGCACAGATGCCGTGAGGCGCCCGGTAATCCGAGCCTGACCTCAGTGCCAGTACTTGAATACCCAAGGATATAGGAACGAGAGGGCGTGGTCGCAGGGAGACAGCCTCAGGATAGTTGTGCTGCGGTGCATTAAACTGGCGACATAATCGTGCTGCTTAGCCTGGCAGCTTGAGGAGCAAAATATGTACGTACACGTTATACGGCGGGTAGAGGAACCCGATTGTAAGGTGAAGCACGCAGCAGAATAATCACAACTGGACTACAGGGGAATCAACGCTACACTGCATTTTGGTACTTGGTTACAACATGAGAAGTTACTGCTTTCTGTCGTCGATACATCGCACCAATACATCCAACCGAACACCCCGAACGAAACAAGAAAGAAATCATCTAGAGCTCTGCAAGAAGATGTGTAAGCGATGTGGTGGTCTGAAGAAGTGATAGCACATACTCTGCATAGCGGCAACATCGGAGCTCTGGACGTAGTCGTCGAACTCAGCAACCTTCTCCTGGAGCTCATCAAGGGACACCAGCTCGTCCTCTGCACATCAAGAACATTCATCATGAGTACAGAACCATCCATACAACCTACTATGTACTCACCGACGACGAGGGTGATCTGGAGCTTGCGGATACCGTAACCGATGGGGACGAGCTTGCTGGCACCCCAGACAAGACCGGGCATCTCGATCGAACGGACGCACTCCTCGAGCTTGGCCATGTCGGTCTCGTCGTCCCAAGGCTTCACCTCGAAGGTGACAACGGACTACGTTTGTTATGTCAACATCGTTTTCACATTTGGACGTAAATACATGATATAGTATAGCTAGGATATGCGCTGAGATGGATGGCGGACTGACCTTGGCGACGGTCTTGGGCTTAGCGGCCTTCTTAGCGTTGTAGGCAGCGACACGCTCAGCCTTAATGCGCTCAGCCTCGGCGTCCTCCTCATCGTCGGAGCCGAAGAGGTCGACATCGTCGTCATCCTCCTCCTCCTTCTTCTCGGCGGCAGGAGCAGCACCGCCGAGGAAGGCCTCACCAGCCTGGCTGGAGCCAGGGAGGGAGTCGAACTCAGCAGTGTAGGACTTGATGTGGTTGAACCAGCGAGAGACGTGGGGGTACGCCGACGCGTCGGGGGCAGAGGAGATCGCCTTGAAGACGACAACGTCAGCCTGGGAGGGAGTGTACCTGTACGGCGTTAAGGTTAGTCTCTGCTATACTGCGCATCGCGTAGGTAAAATGGATCAGAAAGCTAGGTAAAATAGTTGTCGGCATGCTTGAGCAGCGGTGTCTAGTCGCTTCTTGGAAACACGGACCATAGCGTTGTGTTCATCACGAAAGGACGTCTTTCGACGTCAAAAAATTGGAAAAGGATACTTACCCCTCAACGTAGGAGCGGGTAGCGAGGTGGGACTCGAGGTTGGCGAGGTTGGCAGACATGGCGGACGAGAGAGAAATTTTGGTCGAGGACGAGGAGATCGATGGACGAAGGACGTGCACAAAAGCGCCCAACGCGATCGGAATTTTATGCGATCCCGTGACCGACTTAGGGCAGGCAAGACGCGACTTCGATATTTGTCGACATCATCGCTCTTTCTCCTCGCCTCTACCGCACTCGACACTCGCCTTCTTTCATCGTCCCCTCCCTGCACATCTCGTCGCCGTCGCGCGCGATCAGCAACAATTCCTGCCTCCATAACCCTGCATGTAAGCTATAGACGCGTCTTACAGTGGCGTCTAGCTTATCGTGTGCACATCAGTCTCCTCAGCTCACGTACAATCCACCATGAACAAGACCCAGTTCTACCTCTCGCAGTGTGCGGAAG